CTCGAAAAAAAAAAGTTTAGAAGCGTGGTATAGAACTGGGAGGGTAGCTCAGTGGTACAGCACTTGTCCTACATAGAGCCAGGTTAGCTCTCCAGCTCTGCAGAAGAAAGAGGATGTTATCTGCATTAGAAATCTCACGTGCTCTTCTGATTATCCCTGCCAGCACCCACACACACGTAAAGGTACCACTTTGCCTGTTTTTCCTTTTATACAGATGAGCTCATACAGAATATGCTTTTGTGCATGTGCCTAACTTCTCTTCATTATATTTTAATGATTCATTGATAATATGCCTCTTAGTTAACTCTTCCACTGTGCCTGGTTGGCCTTAATTTTGTGTTGAATGTGGTCTTTGAATTTGTTTGTAGTTTTTTTTTTTTAATGTATTTATAGGAAAGATTTGGACATAGGAAATGGTATCACTTTTCAAAGAGGAGTTTTTTCTCTCATTCCTGGGGTGAAGAAGTCTGCCCCAGTCTCTCTTTATACGGTTCTCCTGCCTAGTGCTAGGATTACAGGTAGGTACCACCACACCTACAGGAGACTGTTTCAGGTTTTGCTGGACCATGCCGATAAATTATGTAAATCTGAGCTGTGTTTTGCTTTTACCACTACTTAAAAGAGTGTAGCCCTTAGAGTCCTAACTTAAAGTAGGGTATTATCGGAAGTTCGTCTCCTGAGAGACTCTGAGCTTTGTCTGTCACCTACACTCTACAGCCCAGCTTGCAAAGCCTTTGGCCAAGCCTTCCACCCCAACCACAGCCCGTTGCCGAGCACTGTGCGGTGCTTAAGGCAAGTCCTGCCTGTGGTGACGACCTGTCCTTGCAGGCAGGCATGCGATGGGTCAAGGAAGAGCTAATAGCAGTGGCCGTGTGACGGTATCTGCAGCCATGCCAGGGTTACTTGTCTTTTTCTGTTTTCATTGCAGCCTGATCCAGTGGTTTGAGACAGCACCAAGTCGGACCTGCCCACAGTGTAGAATCCAGGTAAGGATGATGGAGTGTGGGTGTCTCAGTTAAAGACCTCTTCTTTCCGGAAAACAGGGATGGGGAAAACATCTCAGAGATAGAAATACTCTGACCTTTTTGACTCTCTTGGTTTGAGCCAGCTGATCACAGATGCCGGTGAGTCCCTCTGGAGGCTTGCTTATACCCCATGGGTGGCCGGAAGATGGGCTTCCCCACCAGTCTTCACGTGTGTATATTTGGGCCTCTTTAATATTTAGCAAATGTCCCTGTGCATAGCGTTGAAGAATCTTTTAAGCACTTGTAAGTGTTGTCTGCAGTGACATGACTGCAGCCACCAGCGGACCAGCAGTCCTGACTCTGGGTACGTGTAGAAATGAAGTCTTCTGACTCAAAAGGAGATGTGCTGGAAAGTCAGGCCTGAGAGCAGACCTGGCCCACGGCTGGCAGTCAAATCCACGTTCAGTCTTTCCTCTTCGCCTCTGACCTCACTCCACCGTTATTCTCTGTCTTGTTCTCCCACCCAGGTTGGCAAAAAGAGTATTATCAATAAGCTTTTCTTTGACCTTGCCCAGGAAGAGGAGACTGTCTTGGATGCAGAATTCTTAAAGGTACCCAGAATTGATCTCATTCTACTGAATTCCAAACCTTTTAGGAGTTCACTTTTCACTTCCACTTAGAGAAGGTGCCTAAAGTGTAGATGGAGCTGGGCCTGTGGGGCAAAGGCTTGGTAGAGCGATCAAGGTGAGGGCGGTGGCTTTGAGACGGTCCTCAGAGACATACACTGAAGGAGTGGTGCCGGATGGCCATGAGATCTCTCCTTGGGCCTTCAGGGCCAGCATGCCTCCTCCCGTACAAAGGACTTAGAGCCTTCCTGCTCAGCACACTTTCTTGCCGGACAGTTAGTGACACATTAGGAAATTCTTCCATTCTCACTAGTCAGGGAAGATGTGTGACGCCGCCATTCCTTAACCTAGCTGTGCCTCAAAATTGCCTGGAGAACGTGGTGTGAAGGCAGATGCCTGGGCCTTTCCAAGCCCAGCCATAGAGGACGAAGCCCCTGGAGTCAAGATTTCTAGCCCAGGTGGAAAGCCAGACGACAGGCGAGGGTAACCAGGTTGCCTTCTATGCTTGCTTCTCCCATTTCCCCTCCAAATCTAAAATGTCCTTCTGGTTTGTGTGAGGGAGCTAGATTGGCAGAATGTCTTGAGGAAAATTGGGTTGGGGTTTACAAGTGATTGCTGAACGCTAAGGGTTAATTTGCTGGGGATCTGTCAGATTACAACTCATTTGACCTTAGCCTCCTGGGTGTTGTGATGTCCTTGGAACCTCCTTGCTTCAAAATGGTTGAGCTTTTGTGTTTGGAGCCAGCCTGTTCATCGTCATGGTAACTGCTCCCAGTTTTAAGAGGTGTCCTCCCTGTGATGAAGACAACAAAGGCAGCTTCGAGTCTTTTCAGCTTTCAAAGCCAAGTCTGTGAGACAGGGAGGCAGCATCTTGAATAGTTTGGAGCAAGGACTTCGAAGGCATCCTGCTGAGGTGTGGAAGGAGCCAGAGACTATGGGGAGTTGCGCAGCAGCCGGTGTCTGTTCTCAGGCAGACCCCCGCGTGTCCTTACCTACCTATCATTTCCATTCCCAGTTATTTGGTCTACACCGCCCAGCCCAGTTGCCGGGAGCTCCTACCCCCCAGAGTCCTGGGCAGAGAGACTGGTAGTTGGGGGGCCTTACTGTTGGTCTTGTGAAATTCTGAGCCTTCTGTTAACCTTTAAAGAGTGATCTGGAGGCAAGTGTGCTTGGCGTAGACACTTGCCTGAGCCTGAAAGTGTGCTGTGAAGACTTGGTCCTCTGACCGTGGCTGTAGGCTTCTCTAGCTCCCAGGACAGTGAGTTCTCGAGACTCCCCAGTGGGAGCTGGATCCACTTCTACTCCAGCCTCTTAGAGCCAGCTCGGAGCGAGGTAGACCGGAGCGGGCAGAGCCTAAGAAGGAGAGAACTAGTTAGTGATGGTTCAGGGCTTGGCCATCTCTGTTCTGCGTCCCTGGTGAGTGAAGCTAATGTTCTGAGAGGGTGAGGCCGCTGCAGGGCCAGGAGCCCCGGGAGCTTCTGCTGTTGACCAACCGACCAGCAGGCCAAGCTTCACTTTCTGTGGCATTCATTTCCTACATCTTACCTAAAAGGCTGGAGGGATGGTTCAGGGTCTATGGGCACTGGCTGCTCTTGCAAATGACAGGTTTTGATTCCCAGCATCCACATGGCGGCTGAGGATGGACTCTAACTCCAGTTTCAGGGAATCTGACACCGTCTCTGGTCTCAGCAGCAATGTGAAGACGGGGTGCCCTGACATAAATGCAAACCCCGATCCACATAAAAGAAAAACAACCTGTTTCTAAAGATGTATATATTTTATGTATATGAATGCTGTGTCTGCTAGTACACCTGCAGGCTAGAAGAGGGCACTAGATCCATTACAGATGGTTGTGAGCTACCATTGTGGTTGCAGGGAATTGAACTCAGGACCTCTGGAAGAGCAGCCAGTGCTCTTAACTGCTGAGCCATCTCTCCAGCCCAAAAGTAAATAAATCCTTTTTAAAAATGTCCCATACTGGGCATGATGCCACATGCCTTTAATCCCAGCACTCAGGAGACAGAGATAGGTGGATTTCTGTGAGTTCAAGGCCCAGCCTGGTGTACATAGTTCCGGGACAATCTGAGCTACTTAGTGAGACACTATGGTATTTTGTCTCAAAAAAACAAACAAAAAGACCCACAGACATAAAACAATGTGCATCTCTGTTGGCTTGGCCTTGAAGTATATTGGGTCCATTCCTGGACCAATAGTCTTCATTGATCCTGGGACTCTGCACAGCCTTAGGTGGCGTCATATGGAGGCTAGCTGTAATGTGCTCCTGTTGCTTATTGTGTGTATTGTCTTGCAGAATGAGCTGGACAGTATCAGAGCCCAGCTTTCCCAGAAAGGTAAGTTACCAAGTGACAAGAGGCCCTGAGAAGGCCCTGACTTGGGTGTTGGAGGGGAGGGGTCTAAGGGGAAAGCCTCCAGCCTCTGGCAAAGCCAGGGGTTCGTCCTCCTTTGTCTTGCTAGCTCTTATAACTATCCAAAAAGCAGAGGCGAACTGACTCAAGCTGTCTGCCTAGGCCAAGACAGCCTCTTTTCACTGCTTGGAACTTTTTGCCCAGGAGCAGTTTTGGGAGGGGTCCCACCTGATGAGTTTGTATCTTCAGGGCTCAGCTGCTGAGTTTGGCGGGGATTTGCTTGAGTTCTGTAATGATGAATTAACTCGACCTACACAAGTAGGGAAGAGTGAGATCTACTCAAATAGTTCAAGCAGGAAAAAGGAGAGCTTGTCGGCCAGGTGGTGGTGGTGGTGGTGGTGGTGGTGGTGGTGGTGGTGGTGGTGGCGCACACCTTTAATCCCAGCACTCAGGAGGCAGAGCCAGGCAGATCTCTATGAGTTCCAGGATGGGTGCAAAAAGAAAAAAAAAAAAAGAAAAGAAAAGGAGAGCTTGTCTCCTAGGCGAAAGCCCTAGCTTAGTTTTCTTGGTGCCTGGCAGAGAGAGAAGCAGGCCACCCAACTTTCTGGCTTGCACTTTGTTCTTACCTGGCTAAGGGGCGAGGTGCTTGAATTCAGGGGTCAAGGTTGACATGCATGGATGGGCCTTTGCCTTGCTCCCCTCTTCCCCGCTCCAGAGAGGGAGAAACGGGACAGCCAGTCCATTATCGACACTCTACGGGACACACTGGAAGAACGCAATGCCACTGTGGAGTCCCTGCAGAACGCCCTAGACAAGACACAGATGCTGTGTTCCACTCTGAAAGTAAGTCCTCAGAGTCAGTGGGGAGGTACAGCCACAGCCCTGTGCTTGGACCACACAGTGATCACCTGCCTCTACCTCCCCAAGTGCAGAGATTAGAGGCATGCACTACCACACCCAGCCTAGGCTCACAGTTCTAATCATATCTCCTAGTTCTGCCTCAGCCATTGCCTTTGTTTATACAGTAGTAAGGTGAAGGCAAATCTCTTCTTCTCAAGACCCTTCCATACTGTACCCATCAAGCCCATAAGAAAGGGGGCTATAATGGCTGTGCTTGTAGATTTTGTACCAGATAACAAGGCCTTCCCAACACTTCACAGAGGGCCTGCTCGGCGGAGACCTGAGTAGGGCTGGGCCACGTTTCTAAAAGTGGCTCCTACTCCACTGATGAGGCCAGTCTGAAGAATCTTCCATTAGGACTCCAGTCCTTGGCGGGGCTGCTCTCTGGAGCCAGATCAAACAGCATCCTAGGGAGGAGCACAGGCCTTTGAAGTCCGCTGTGCTGAGCTGACCGAGCAGATCAAAGCTGTAGCGCAAGCAGGCCTAGACCCAGATGAATTTTGTATCAGCCTAGGTTCGTGAGCCTCCTGCTCTCCGAGGGCCATGAGGCGATTGATCTGAACTCACGATTGATATTCTAGTCTTGTAGGCAGGAGCAGCCCTTGCTGGGTGCCATTTGAAAGGGATAGGAGCCATCCTTATGAACAGACAAGGCCCTAGGATATTCATTTTCTGTTCCTGCTTGGAGGCTGAGCTGTATCACGTGGCCTACCCAGAGGGAGGGGGCAAACTAGCACCAGGTTACAGAACAATCTCTGATGGCAGTCCCAGGTCAGAGATGGAGTGGTCTCACGCTGAGGACAGATCCTGGCTCGGCTCTCCTATCCTGGTGCTTCTTGTCCATGTGTCTAGATGAGATATGGGTTCGTGCTCTTGGCTTCTTCAGCTATATTATAGCAAGCATGTACCATGAGACCCAGACCATAGAATCTTGGCAGCCCACAGCAGGCCTGAGCCTCACCTATATCTCCGGAGGTGAGGATACAGCTGCCCTGAAGTCTCTTAGTAACAAAAGCATAGGCCAAGTGAGGGCTATAGTTCAAAGCCTGGGTTGGATTCCCATTACTTTACACAGACACACACACACACAACACAGAACAGGTCAGCATGAGGGGCTCTGAGGGGGTTTATAGCCTACAATTTGGAGATATATGTTTATCAGTATCTTTAAAAGCCAAGTATGGAGGTATACTCCCATATTCCTAGCAGGAGGTGGAGGCAGAAAGATCAGGGGTTCACGGTCATCCTTGGCTACATAGCGAGTTCATAGACAACCTGGGGTGTGTGAGTCCCTGTCAAAAACCAAAACCAGGGGCTGCAGAGATGGCTCAGCAGTTCAAAGCACTGGCTACTCTTCCAGAGGACCCGGGTTCAATTCCCAGCACCCCCACATGGCAGCTCACAACTGTCTGTAACTCCAGTTCCAGGGGATCTGACACCTTCACACCAATGCACATAAAATAGATTTAAATAAATTATATTAAAAACAAACAAGCAAACAAAAGATGTGGTACAGATAGCTCTCAGTGGCCATGGTTCTGAGAAGCACCAAGAAGATATACGGGTGTGCTTGCTCTTCAGAAGCAGATGAAATTCCTGGAACAGCAGCAGGATGAGGCCAAGCAGGCTCGGGAGGAGGCCCGCCGACTCAAGAGCAAGATGAAAACCATGGAGCAGTGAGTTCGTAGCTGCTTTCTGTATTGCGCTTTCACACTGGGGCCCCTGGGAAAAGGGGTGCAATTCTCAGGACCGCAGCTGAAAATGGGGTTTGTCCACCTTTGACCCAGATGTCCAGGTGCCCATGGCACAGATTTCCTTTCTTATCCTCTGTGGGTTCCTTCCCTTTTTATGGGTACTCTTGTACTCCGTGTCCTGTTGCCTGTGGATAGATGGCCTGCCGTGCCTTCCCTCCAGCAGCCTCTCGACAGAAGCCCCTGACCTTGACGTCCTCTGTTAGCACCTCTTTTTCCTCAGCAGCATCCCTGGAGCTGAGCTCAGCTCTGCTGTGGAACCTTTCCTTGGGCACACCCACCTGCTAAAGCATCCTAGCAGCCCAGGCTGTTGCCATAGCAACGGCGGCAAAGGGAGGCAGACTAACCATCAGCCTCCAGATTTCAAATGCCGTGGGCCGGGAATGTTTTTCAGAATTGAGCTCCTGCTCCAGAGCCAGCGGCCTGAGGTGGAGGAGATGATCCGCGACATGGGTGTGGGACAGTCAGCGGTGGAGCAGCTGGCGGTGTACTGCGTGTCCCTCAAGAAGTATGTAAGCCCAGGAACCAGATACGGTTCCCCAGTCCTAGCTCTGCTGCCATCTTCTGTAAAGCAGAAGGTGTGAAGGAGCAAGTTCTAGAACCATATTGTCGTAGGGTGAACTCCAGCTCTCAGGCCACTTTGGAGGCCTCGCTAGCTTCCACTTTCCTGCGTGAAGATAGACAGAGACTTGCCTTAGAGTTGCTGAGAGAACCGAGTATGGATTCTAAGTGTTGTTTCTAAGGAGCTCACGCAGCTCTCAGCTGTGAGCCCCTCCTCGTGACATCTGGAGTCTATTTCCATCAGCAAGGTTACTGACCTTGTCTGGCTTTGATAAGAAACTGCCCATATTCTTCATTATGGTACTATAATGTTGGGAAGGAGCCATTTGACTGACAGGCACAGAGAATCCAAAATGCCTCCATTTGGGGGTGTAGGGAGCCCCCTAGTGAGGCTGGAGCTTCTTGCATACTTTCTCCAGTCACCACGGTTCCTGCAGGTGACAAGAGAGAGCAGTTTTGTTTCCTGACCTCATTACATTCAGTGCAGGACCTGCCATGGGGCCCCCTGGAGGGAGGAGGAGGCGGAGCTAAGGATTGGAGGGAGGGAGGCCTTTGTTAGGTTGGTGCTGTGACATCAGGGTGTCCTGTCCTGTCATCTCTCCTCACGGCCACTTTGCAGAGAGTATGAGAATCTGAAAGAAGCGCGGAAGGCCTCGGGGGAGCTGGCTGACAGGTTGAGGAAGGACTTGGCCTCCTCGAGGAGCAAGGTACCGGAATGGGAGCCAAAGGAAGGAGGAGGCGTGGCTTTTCCTTTGTCATACTCGACGGGGCTCCTGAGCTAGGCCCCCCAGGCTGACACAGTGGCCTAGTGTGGGGGCCTGCAGACACTAATTATTACTGCTTTTTACTGTGCATTGGGGGGGGCGCAGTTAATACAGGTATGCCCCCACCACACACTTACACTACCCTTTGCTCATCTTGGAGAACACAGTCCTCAAGTGTGACAGCTTCGGAGGCCTGTTTTGTACCCCATCCCAACTATGAGGGTTCTTGGGCCAGCTGCTTTTAACTTCTGTAGGCTGCAATGTATAGAGAGAGGGGCCTTGCTCCCAGGCAGCCCTAGGTGTGTACCCCTAATTGAGCCTATCCCCAAAGGTCTGGGTCCCTCATGCCTCCAGTTTCTTTTAGACTCTACCCCGACCATCCACTGGGTGGCAGCAGGTAGGGACAGGACATGTGGCACCACTGGCTTGTCCTTTCTTACAGTTGAAGACTGTCTACACTGAGCTGGATCAGACCAAGTTAGAACTGAGGTCAGCCCAGAAGGACTTAGAGAGCGCTGATAAGGAAATCACGGTGAGAATCCTGACCCGGTGAGAAGGGGAGGTCAGGGGTGGTTTCTGTGCCTCCAGGAGTGGGGCCAGGCTGGTTCTGCCTGAGAACCTGAGTCCCAGTCAAGGGCAGTAGCTCTGGGCTCTTTATCCTCCTGTGTCAGGGAGGTGGGTCAGGGTATGTGTCCTGACCCTCACCTGACCTACAGCCTGTGCCTCCTCAACAGAGGGCCAACAGCACCGTGGATCTTCCTTTATGATCTGCTGAGTCCTTACCTCCAAGATTCCTAATCGCCTGAGCAAGGGCTTTACCAAAAAGGCATTCTAAAGGCTGGTGTTGGGCATCAGTCCTTGCTCTGTTCCCAGCACCCTTCACAGGTGTTGTCCTCAGTGCCTCAGCCTTTCTCTCGTGTTCTTCTCTTTATTTCCTCCAGAGCCTAAGAAAGAAGCTAACGATGCTGCAGGGGACCTTGAATCTGCCTCCAGTGGCCAGTGAGACTGTCAGCCGCCTGGTTTTTGAGAGGTTTGTTAGCCTTCTGGGGTGATACAGGATCATAGACCGAGAACCTTCATGCCTAGCTTTGGTGGCATAGACGGTGTTTGTGGACCTTCTGGCCAGAAAGCCAGCAGCTTTGAGAAAATTTGGGATCTGACAAAGAACGGCCAGAGAAGGCCTTTGAAGTGTCTGAGGATGGGGCAGGAGCCTTGACTTATCTTGGTGTATCCTAGAGTTTCTCACCACGTGCATCTGCCTGCCCCCATTTCTGAAACAAACTTGAAAGCACTCACTCTCAAATGAATGAATTCTCAAACCCCCTCTCAGCTGGGCAATGGTGGCACACACCTTTAGTCCCAGCACTCGGGAGGCAGAAACAGGCGTATCTCTGTGAGTTCAAGGGCAGACTGATCTACAAAGTGAGTTCCAGGACAGCTAGGACTGTTACACAATGAAACCCTGTCTCAAAAAACCAAAATAAATAAAGAAGTAAAATAACCCCCTCCGGTTCAGGAATGTGTGCTTTAAGGTGGCCAGCAGAGGGAGCCAAAAGACCCAGGGATTGGTGTCCCTGCCAGGAACAAGTTAAGCTTCCTGAGTGTTTTTCACAGAAACAGGCTGACTAGGAACATCCTCAAGGCTGTCTTCTGCCTGCTAGGGGACCCCAGCAGGGGAACCAAATTAAAAACTCCTGTTTTTATTTAAACCAGAGTTTAAATGACCCAGAGTTTTATTTAAACCACTTTCCAGTATCTTTTGGCAAATCAATATGTGCCCTGCACCTCCCCGTCCTGCCTGTGAATTCACGCATCAGTGCCTTCCAGCACTCCACTTTGTTCCTGGGCACTGCGCCCCAGACTTCCCACATCTCAGAGCCTTGCTACTGTGTCTTGGGACGTTCATGGAGCTGCTTTAGACGGGAGTGGTTTTGTAGGATCCTGGGTGTCATAGCCTACTGTAAGAGAACACTTCTTCTCTTCCTGCTTCTTCTGCCGCCTTTGCTCCAGCTCTTTCCTCACTGAAGGCTCTGGTCAGCCTCCTCAGCCAGATAGCACTGAGAGAGAGGGAGAGCGAGAGCGAGAGAGCGAGAGAAAGAAAGAGAGAGAGAGAGAGAATGGATGAGTGTGTTGTGTGCATGTGGAGGCCATTGATCTACATTGATGTCTTCTTTGACCACTTTGTACTATCTGTGTGTGTGTGTGTGGCTGAGTGTGTCACAGTGTGCATGTGGAAGTCAGCACAACTTGTGGCATCATTTCTCTCCTTTCACCTTTCCATGGGTTGAAGGGATCTTTTTTTTTTTTTCTTTTTTTGTTTTTTTGGTTTTTGGTTTGTTTTTTGTTTGTTTGGTTGGTTGGTTGGTTTGGTTTTTTGAGACAGGGTTTCTCTGCGTAGCTTTGCGCCTTTCCTGGAGCTCACTTAGTAGCCCAGGCTGGCCTCGAACTCACAGAGATCCGCCTGGTTCTGCCTCCCGAGTGCTGGGATTAAAGGCGTGCGCCGCCGCTGCCGCCGCCGCTGCCACCCCCCCTCACCCCCGGCTCGGTTTTTGGTTTTTTGAGACAGGGTTTCTCTGTGTAGTTTTGGAGCCTGTCCTGGAGCTTGCTCTGTAGCCCAGGCTGGCCTCAAACTCACAGAGATCCGCCTGGCTCAGCCTCTGGAGTGCTGGGATTAAAGATGTGTGTCACCACCGCCCGGCAGGTTGAAGGGATCTAACCCAAGTTGCTAGATTTGTGCAGCAAGCACCCTTACCCTCTGAGACACCTCGCCAGCTATGATTCTTTTCCTCAACATCCCTCTGTGGAGCCAGACTTACCTGCCTGCTCCAGTTTAGGATGCACTGAGAGCTGTGGACTATGGTAGATGCACGATCTGCCATGATGTCCAGTGTTAGGTTGACTTGTGTGGTTTGGGAAGAATCTTTTCTTTTTCTTTTTTAAAACTTATTTATTTAGTATGTATACAGTGTTCTGCCTATACATGTCCCTGAAGGCCAGAGGATGGCACCAGATCTCATTACAGGTGGTTGTGAGCCACCATGTGGTTGCTGGGAATTGAACTCAGAACCTCTAGGAAGAAGAAGTCGGTGCTCTTAACCACTGAACCATCTCTCCAGCTTGGGAAGAATTGTAAACCTTCCTAGTCTATATGAAATGTACAGACACATTCATGAAACCGCCATTTAAATCTGAAGGAAGAGAAATCCAGGCAGAGAGGATGGTGAATTCAAAGTCCCTGAGGCGTTGCTACAGTGGGCTTGGGGCGGGGGGCAGGTGGGCCACATCGCTGCCAGCCTTTGTAAGTCAGCCTTGTAGGTGCAGATTTCATCCTTGGAGCAGTAGAAACTGTTGGAAATGTTTCTGGAAGGTAGCTCTGAGGGCCTGGTCCATGTCTCTGATTTCCATCCCATCATCTCTAATGAGTCCTTGAACTGTGCCTCAGTTTTCAGACTTACTTAAAGCCTCGTAGTCTCCACCTTGTGAATTCTGGCTTCTGTGTCAGGCTCACATTTCCCCGGCCATTCGCTCCCCCTCCCCCTCCCCCCTTCCCCTTCCCCCCTCTCTCAAGGTTCTGTGTGTTATTGCTGATGCCTGTTTCATTGTGATGGGATTACCCTTTGCTTCTGTCATCTTATTTTATTTTAAAGATTTACTTATTTATACAGGTGCTTTGCATGTGTGTCTGCACACCAGAAGAGGGCATCAGATCATGAGCCGCCATGTGGGTGCTGGGAATTGAACTCAGGACCCCTGGAAGAGCAGCCAGTGAGTGCTCTTAACCTCTGGGCCATCTCTCCAGCCTTTATTTTATTTTATTATTTTATCTTTTTGAGACAGTCTCAGGCTGGTCTCAAATGCACTATGTAGCTGAGTATGACCTTGAACTCCTTATCTTCCTGGCTCTCCATCCCGAGTGCTAGGAATCTAGGCATGTACTACACCACATCTGATTTATGGAGATCCGGGATCGAACCCAGGGCCTCATACTTGCTAGGCTAGCACTGTACCAACTGAGCAATGTCCCCAGCCCTGCTCGTGGTTTTAGGGCAGCCTCAGGAGGTAGCCCTTCCTTTAGCCTTGCCAGACCTGGCCTTGTGAGGTCTGAGGAGAACCTGGAGGAAGGTGGGGGCTGCTCCAAGGGACCCACACACACACACTCTTTCCTTCCCTCAGGAGTTGGAAGGCTGCGCCACAGTCCTTGGCCCACTGGGGTGCAGATCAGAGGAAAGGGAGTTATCAAGAAGGTATTAGGAAGATATCGCTCAAGGGCCCTAAGGACTCCTAAATTCTGGGCTGGTGGGATCTGGGGAGACCTTCATTTATGGTAGGACTGATAGGAGCTGTGAGTTCATGGAGGACATAGTGACAGCCTTTGTGCCACACAATAGCACATCTGCCTAGGGTTTGGCCCTGCCTTAGAAAGGAGGGCTTTGAGTCTTTGGCCTCATTCCCTGAGGCCGCTGACACGAAGCTGTGTAAGTTGGCCATAGGTGAGTGTCTCAGAGGTAATAGAGTCAGTCACTGAAGAGTATCTCAAGCCAGGCCTTCACTGTAGTGAAGGAGAAACCACAGAACCCTAGGCTCTCCCTCCTCAAGTCAAGTTATGGATGAAAGAAAGTGGACCCTGAAAGAAAGGGAAACAGACTAATATTTGCAAAGGAGAACTTACCCAGAAACAGTTTGAACAGTGTGAGAGAACAAGAAATATGTCCTTTTGAGCTTCGTGTTGAAATGAGAGACAGGGTGAACCTCCTGAATCTTGGGTTTGTGTAGTAGATAGTACATGAGAAGAAGTCCAGCTTGGCTTGAGCCAAGGCCGAGTGTGTGCCGTGGGTTCCCCTGGGTGAGACCTGGGGGTGGTAATGGAAAATCTTACCTGAGCCCTCAGGTAGTAAGATGGCTTCGCTCTGCCAGACTGGACCTGTCTCTCGGGTTTGCCTTTCCCGCCTTAGCCTAAACTCGCTGGAGTTGGTAAGCAACCACAGAACCATACTGATGAAGGGAGGGAGACGCGGGCTTCCCAGCCAGATGTGTAGGCAGCTCAGTGTGCACAGGGCTGAGGTGTGGCTCCCGAGGGAAGTCCTTGGAAGAAGTGTCCTTAGCGCTGGCCCTGCCGTTTCTTAGGGTTCTCCTCAGACCTTAGACCCTGGAGAGCACTGCCAGGTCAGGCTGGCTGCAGTTTTCGAAGAGTGAGCACCACCCTCTCATTATAAAAGTAAAAAGGTAGAGAATTTGAAACCTACGGGCTTAATTGCAGAGCGAATTGGACACAAGGTGCGTTTCATTCAAGTCTTTTTCCTGTGGAAGGTGTATGGAGGACAGGGTACACCAAGTCATGTGATTGTACATACACATGTATTTTTTTGTTTTGTTTTGAGACAGGGTCTCTCTGTGTGGCCCTGACTGTCCTGGAACTCACTATGTAGACCAGGCTGACCTCAAACCCACAGAGATCCACCTGCCTCTGCCTCATGAGGGCTGAGATTACAGGTGTGTGCCATAATGCCTAGCTTGTACGTGCATATATTTTATATTCTCTTTTTTTCTTTTAGGCAGCCTCCATATATAGCTTAGGCTGGCCTCAAACTTAGGTAGCTCAGGCAGGCTTTGAACTCACGATCTTCTTTCCTGAGATCATAGGGGTTTGTGTATTACACCTAGCTTTTGTATTGCTTTTTAAATGTGGGTATTTTCCCATGTTGCTACAGTTACTCTTGAGAACACCATCTAGTGTCTCCATCACTGTCAACTCCTGAAGTACCAGACCACTAGCATACGTTTGCTGTGCTAAGTAGTAACATCCTCACATCTGTATCACTCTGTGGTAACATGGCTGAATGGCGGCGGCGGCGGCTGCTGCTGCTTCTTCTTCTTCTTCTTCTTCTTCTTCTTCTTCTTCTTCTTCTTCTTCTTCTTCTTCTTCTTCTTCTTCTTCTTCTTTTCTGGAACAGAGTTTCTCTGTGTAGCCCTGGCTGTCCTGGAATTTGCTTTGTAGACTAGGCTGACCTTGAACTCTGAACTCTGGGCTGAAGGTTCTGGGTATTGAGCTCAGGGCTTCAGCCTTGGAAACAGTAGTCTTTATATCAGCTGAGCCATCTCACCAGGCCAAGCTGAATTGCCTCTGATACTTGAGGAGCTGTGATTTCTCTGGGTTGTTACTGCAGTCCCGAGTAACAAGATTATCTCGACCTTCATTCAGCCCAGCCCCTGTGGAGATGTTGAACCCGAGACTCCACCGGCCATCCTTCAGTGATGAGATTGACCTCAATGCTACCTTTGATGTAGATACCCCTCCAGCCCAGACCTCCAGCTCCCAGCATGGCCACCCCAAGAAGCTCTGCCTGGAGAGGGCACGGTGAGTGTTGGTCCCTGGCAGTGCCCAGAACCTGGTGGGGAGTAGCTAAGCCATCTGTAGGTCCTGCCCTGAGTGGGATGAGGCTGCTCAGTGGGATGCAGCTTTGGGTCACGCTACCTCTTCCTCTTCTCCTTGGCCTGAGTGTGCACTGTGTACAGTCCTGCTTGTTCCTTTCATCCTTGAGATGATGTTAGAGAGAATTCTCTGGTCCCAGTAGGGCCAGTCTGGACTGGTGGGGAGGCAGGTATCCCAATACTTTGAATGCCTACCCACCGGAGTCCTGAGTGTGGGACTCTGAATTGTTCCCAGTGTGTGCCTCTGAGGTTCATGCTTAATGCAGGACCATCTCACACCACAGATCCCATGACCCTGCCACCCGCGGAAAGAACCCATGTTGGCAGACATGAGGGGCTGTGTGGAGCTGGAGGACAGGTGGGACTTGCTCTAGATATGCAGTGGGACTGGGGGGGGCCACCATCCCCTTGGCCAGGCACACTTGTGTGTCGCCGTGAAGACGGCTGTACTCCTTCGTATACATAGGTGTGCGATTCCAGTGAGGGAAGTCTTTTTCATTTTGTACAGTGTTCTGCCTGCACATATCCCTGCAGGCCAGAAGAGGGCACCAGATCTTATTACAGGTGGTTGTGAGCCACCATGTGGGTGCTGGGAATTGAACTCAGGTCCTCTGGAAGAGCAGCCAGTGCTCTTAACCTCTGAGCCATCTCTCCAGCCCTTTTTTTTTAAGACAGGGTTTCTCTGTAGCTTTGGAGTCTGTTCTGGAATTTACTTTGTAGACCAGGCTGGCCCCGAACTCACAGAGATCCACCTGTCTCTGCCTCCCAAGTGCTGGAATTAAAGGGGTGCGCCACCACCACCCGGCTCTTTTTACATTTTTTAAAATTACACTTATTTATTTTTGTGTATGTATGTGGAATGCATATGGAGATC